ATATGCCAAAACTAGAAGACAGAAGAAAAAGATGTGATATGATCACTACATACAAAATAGTAACAGGAATTGATAAAATTGATAGGGAAGATTTCCTGAGACCTGGAACTTTAAAAACAAGAGGTCATAGATATAAACTAGCTAAACACAGATGCCGAAGAAATATAAGAAAATTCACTTTCACAAACAGAGTGGTAGACGGTTGGAACAAGTTAGGTGAGAAGGTGGTGGAGGCCAAGACCGTCAGTAGTTTCAAAGCGTTATATGACAAAGAGTGCTGGGAAGACGGGACACCACGAGCATAGCTCTCATCCTGTAACTACACTTAGGTAATTACACAAAGAGCGGCCGAAAACCAAGTAGTAAACAGCCTAGCAGGGGCAGGACCCAAGGTACTTGTGGAAGGTGGCCCCAAGCCCCAAGGGCAGTACTTACAGGGCACCTAGGGAAGGGAACCCTAGGCGCATGTAGCCCGAGTACTGGAGAATCACTACCGGCTCACACACCACCTAGAAGACAGACACCACACTCTAGGTACAGTGCTGAAACAACTACTGGAGCCGGAGCACATAACCAGTGCCTATAGCATCAGCCGAAGAACTAATGGGTGGTTAGCCGGCGTGGGAGGTCTGGGGCTCCCCCTTCCCCCTCCCGGGAAGGGGGGAGCTGCGCAAACAGCGGCGCGGTGACATGTGACGTCATACTAGTTTGCTTGTTTTCTGTTGAAGAGTTTTGTCCACTAGTTCGGCTTTAGGTAGCAATTTTCACCAGAATAGGGGTTTGTTTTGGAATGCTTACCTTTCTGGATGCTTGACCCGGTCGATGGCAGACAGAATGCTTCCAACCACACGGGGGTTTCTATAGGCCATTGCTCCCCTTGCCTCTCTGAGGGGGCCAGGTTCTGGCCGTGGTCCCCGGTAGGTCTTAGAACTCCATACACATGATTGATGCCAAAGTCTGACATTAGCATATCAGCCTGGTAAAGCTCCGGGGAGCCTCCGGGTCTCACCCAGAAAATGGCGTTTCATTACATTCAACGCTGGTTTTTTGCAGGGGCCTGATACTAGATGTGGTTTTTGATCTTGATTTTGCATAGGAGAAAAAATATTTCGAATTTCACTATTTCACTGATGGCCTTTTGCTCTCTTTGCCTCTCCTGGGTTTTGTATGATTCTTGTAGCTTGAGTTCAATTGTTTCTATTTCTCTACTTAGCCTTCATCGCCTTTAGAAGGAATGACAGTCCCATTCCAATCTGCATCTCCTCTTCTTTATTCTTGGGGGGTATGCAGTTTGAACATATTTCTAGTGCTACTGAGCTTATTTTTTCCAGGCACTGGTACAGGTTTACATTTTCTAGCTGTTCTTCCCAGTTTATTTCTGTGATGTCTTGGTTTATTTGCTCCCAGTTTATCTGTTTATTATTGAAGTTAATTTGCTGAAATCTCCTCCACCGGGAATCAGGACTGGGTTTGAAGGTCTATTCCCTATGCTTGTCAGAACTTCAATTAAGTTATGATCTGTGTAACAGGTATTTGTAATCATTATGTTCCTGATCAATTCATCATTATTGATGAAAATGAGGTCCAGCGTGTTCTCCTTCCCAGTTGGTTCTACTATTTGCTGGTTTAAGGCAAACCTGTTGCACATCCGTAGCAGGTCATTTGCATATGCCTGTTTATTTAGGCTACTTTAGGATATTAGGATATTTTTATATTAGTGACTTAGATATTATAAAATATATGTAATATCCTTAGATATTAGGATATTTTCAAATTTTATATAAAATCTCTATTGTTTAATAAAACTGAAAAAGAAATTCTTTTTATTTAAAACTTGTGTATATAGAATTGAACACAAAAACTTCAACCTAAAAATTTTGAGTGTATTTACACAAAATTAGGAGAATATATGGGGAGGTAAATGTAACAACACAATTAAGTGTATTTATGTACTATGCAGTCAGGAATGTACTTATTACATTTAGTATTGAAACGTACTGTCTATTCGGAGGAAGGGTTGATCCTTACCATAATATCCAAAACTTCTAATATTAATTTAAAATTTCAAAACATTCTCAGCTGTTTGAATTTTTCAAAGGGTTTAAATAATATTTTTATATAGCTTTTCTTTGTGACAATGGCTTTACTGTGTGTGTGTAATCTTAGGTATTCTTTTGCACTCCTTTTCCTTAATACTGTACAGTATATGGAACACAGTTCAACATTCTGCTTTAACCCTTAGATTGCATGCAGGTTATATCTCAACCAGTTTAAGATAAAAATGAAGCTATACCTAATAAATTCCCTGTAACCTACCTCACCCCTCTATTGTCAACCCATGTCTGTTTTTTGTTTTTTTAAACGATGCTGTTTGTCGACCTAATTGTATTTGTGCTGCTTTTTCAGCCATGTTCCCCCCTTTTTATCTCTTTTTTTTATTTGTTCTCAACACATTTTATTCTTTATGCTTAATTAGTATTACGCTTTAGTCAGTTAAGTTTTTCATGCCCGAAACTCTTTGCGTAATAGTGGCTTTAGGTATTGTATGTACTAGCCCTATCTATAAATCCATCATTCTTTGTAAAATCTCTTGTATGTATGTACCTTGCCTAAATAAACATTTATTTATTATTTATTATTATTTATTATTTATTATTATTATTATCAGGCTTTATTTGAATGTTTGTACAGCTAGATAGTATGCAAAACAAGGTTTGTCTCTTCTTATATTATTATTGACTATGCCCTAAGCATAGAAACAATGTTCCAATATTTGTAAGTCACTTTTCAAGATGGCAGATGTTCACTGAAGGCCTCAAATACCGATTCAGAACACGGTGTAGCAGCCAGAGTTTCAGATGTTGCACAGTACCTAAAACCTCTTAGAATGATATGCATACCTTGAATTGAACATCATCTTAACATGTTCCAAATCTTTTTCCTCATCTACCGTTCCTGCCCCTACTGTTACAATGCCTGCTTCAGCTCCTGGTCCCCGGATTCCTCGCCGTGGTGCAGCTAATGGCTCTCGGAAGGCAGCAGGTTTGTGTGTGTGGAGTGACTTTGACAACAGAGATGTGGGAATTACAGATCTTTTCCCTGATACTGGTGACGAAATGTGTGAAATGGACTTCTTTACTGCATATTTCGATGAGCCGCTCATGGAACACATTGTTCACGAAACGAACAGACTTGCGGCCGATCTCATTGACGGTGAGGAAGTTTCAGAATTTTCATGACTACAGCGTTGGAAAGAGACAACTGTTGGTGAAATGTATGTATTTTTCGCAATTTGCATGTTGATGAAACATTGTGTGAAACACGTAATTTCAGATTATTGGAGCAAAGACAACACTGTTCCAACACCATTGTTCGGGAAATATATGTCCCGAGACAGATTTCTGTTGATCCTACGGTGCATTCATTTTGCAAATAATGCAGACGAGACACAGGATGATAGGCTTTGGAGGGTGAGGCACGTGCTAAATAACCTGATTGGAAAGTTCCGAGATTACTACGTACCAGCTCAGAAGCTGGTTATTGATGAATCCCTTGTGCTTTTCAAAGGACATGCTGCCTTCAAGCAGTATATTTCCTCAAAACGTCACCGATTTGGACTGAAATTCTTTGTGCTCTGTGACTGTGAATCAGGAATGGTGTTACACATGATACTTTATTCAGCCACAAATGTAGATATTCCTGCTAATGACGAACATGGCTTCTCAGGTAGAGTGGTAAAGTCACTGCTTGCACCATATCTGAACAAGGGCCACATATTGTACACAGATAACTATTATACCAGTCCCTTGCTAACGAAATTCTTCCTTGATAATAAGACTGGAGTGTGTGGAACAGTAAAGCCAAAACGAAAGGAAATGCCTGTGTTTGACACTGCTATGCAAGTAGGTGATTGCGAGGTAAGAAAAAGTGGTGCAATGCTTTCAGTGCGGTGGAAAGACAGACGTGAAGTGAACATGTTGACCACCATTCACCCTGGTACAATGGTAGACAGTGGCAAGGTGAACAGAACAACAAAGCAAATAATATATAAGCCAGATTGTGTGATGGACTACAACATCAACATGGGTTTAGTTGATAAATATGACATGATAGTGGGTGCTGTGGAGTGTGTACGTAAAACAGTGAAGTGGACAAAGAAAATGATTTTCCACCTTATTGACGTAACAATGCTGAACAGTTACAACATGTTTCTTGTGAAGACAGGTAGAAAACCATATTTCCGTTCGTTCAGTTTTCAAGTTGTGAAACAGTTGCTAGGTAAATTTGGCAAGGACACACCTGGCATACAAAGACCCATTCGAGACCCAATACTGAACCATGCTCCTGCACCCAGGCTCGCTTACAGGGAGGCCTTTCTGATACATCAAATCAAGAAATTACCACCAACTGGAGCTCGTGCAGCAGGCCAGTGTCGGTGTGTTGTGTGTTCCAGTACCAAATTGAGGCCACAGAAATGTAAATTGGTGTTGACATGGTGCGAAGCGTGTGGCGTCCCTCTGTGCCATATCGACTGTTTCGCACAGTATCACAGTCTCCTGGAGTACTAAATGTGTAATTCTTTGGTAAATAAATGTACATATCAAGTTAATTTTTGTGTTTATATTGAAAAAACCCCAAATACATTGAATATTTCCTGTAAATTATACCATTTTGGTGGGCATACTTGTGACACTAATATGTGAGCGCCTAGTGAGTTTATACCATTTTATTATAATACAATGTCTATTGCTAATAATTGGAACAATACTAGCGAAAAAAATTTGTGTAAAATGACCCAAGAATACTGTAAATAATTCCGCGAAAATAAATTCGCAGCAACTCGGGCCGCGTGAGCGGCCGTGAGTGACAGCTGGCTGACGCAGCACCCTTGAGCGCTCACGTTCTGTGACTTCTTGAGATTCGATGGTATGCACATTTCAAGGGCTAGTGACACACAAATTATTACAATATAAATGAAACAATTTAAAATGTTTACTTACAGCTCATTTGACAAGAACATTATAGTGACGATCATCTTCAGCAACCAAAGTAACTTCGGGCCATATCCCAATATTAGCATCAGGGTAATAGCAGATAAAATCCTCTTTACCATAGCTTGCAGGACGAACAACTTGCAGTGTAACTCCCAAAGTTTGACCCATCAAAAACATTTCAATCTGGAAATGAAGACATAGTCTGTAAAACTGTAAAGACAAACATCTGACACAATTCTTAACATTATACAGTAGTATAAGTATCTAAATGTTTAATTTGATTGATCCTTGTTACTTATTTTTCCAGTCTGCTGATTATGAAAGTTTTCAGAAGTTTTTTCCTTACTACAATAATTTACTTTATAACCAATAAGAAATAACTTAAACTATTTACTGTTACCTCATTTATAGCAAAAGAAAATTAAAGTGTTATACTGCACATTAGGTTTACTTATTTATGGGGTGGGTTTTCTTATTTTTTGTTTGCCCTCTTTTTATTAATTTATCATACTGACCTATAAGATGGGGCTTTACCCTTTTGTCTCTTCTAAAAGTACTCTATTATTGTCCAATTAATTATTTTATTTGTCATCCATTTTAAGTAGTTGATATTGATCTAATTTGTCTGCAAGCAATATTATGTCCATGCATTTTTTTTACAATATTTAAAACTTTTATATCCAGTACTGTATTCTTAATTTACTGAAAGATGGACTATCGAATTCTGTTTGCCTATCGGGCTCATGTTAACTTCCATGGCTGAGGGTATCCCAACATGGCCTCTGCTCTCCTGTCTAAACAGCCTGTCTCAATATAAAAGTTCTAATAAAACCAACTTTGAATGTAATGAAATGCCATTTTTTGGGTGAGACCCGGAAGCTACCTGGAGTTAACCGGGCTGATATGAATGTATTAGACCCTGGCATCAGTCAATGTGCGTGGAATTCTAGGCCTACCAGCGACCATGAGCCAGAACCTGGCCCCTCCCCCCCCTCTGAGACAGACACGAGGAACAATGGCCTATAGAAACCCCCGTGTGTTTTGGAAGCATTCTATGTCTGCCATCGACCGGGTCAGGCTTCTACTACACATAAGGGGCATAACTGGCTGACCCCTCAGTGTTTGAGAGAGAACTTGATAAACACCTCCAAAGGATACCAAATCAACCAGGCTGTGACTCATACATCAGGCTGCGAGCAGCCACATCCAACAGCCTGGTTGACCAGTCCAGCAACCAGGAGGCCTAGTCGACGACCGAGCTGCTAGGTCGCTAAGCCCCGAAAACACCTCAAGGTAACCTGGAGGTAGGCATCCAGAAAGTTAAGCGCCCCAAAACAAACCCTTATTCTGGTTCAAATATTGCTGCTGAAAGCTGAACTAATGGACAGAACTCCCCAAATGAAAACAAGCATGATGTCACCACGTCACCGTGCTGCTGTCTGCGCAACCCACCCCTTCACCGAGAGGGGGAAGAGGGAGGCCCAGACACCCATGCCAGCTATCCACCCTTCAGTTCTGAGGCTGGATGTCAAAACACTCAAAAAATAACACTGACCAGAGGGAGGGAGGGTTGTCGGGGAGCCTCCAGGTCTCACCCAAAAAATGGCGCTTCCTTACATTCAATGCCGATTTTCTGTGGGGGGGAGCCCCGTCAGCTCCCAGGACCTACTTACCCAAAGATAACACAAGAGGAACTTAGCCAAGAGGCAGTCGCCACTCGCTCCGCAACTCGAAGTCAAGGCAACAGGCTGCAACCGCGCACACAATACATGATGCACCCCCGGCCGAACCAACCAAGCATCAACAACCCAAGCACCCCTCTGGAAAGCAACAGTCACAATCGATGCCACAAAAGAAGACAGTTGCAAATGAACAAACCTACTACCAGGACCAAAAGAGCAGAAACCTCTGCACTGGAGGAGAGCATGAAGCTCCACAACCTGACTCCCGAGAGGCCAATGTCAACAGGAAAAAGAGCCCTGGAAAAACCTGAACCGAAGGGGCCACCACAAACTGAGAAGAGAGAAAGGAGAGCACCCAGTCCGACAACCAGGACGGCTCAGGCAGCGCATGAGCAGGCCAGAGGTGAAACAACGAATGAGACAGTTTGCAGAACGGCGCAGAAGTAACACCAATGCTGAACCCAAGCTGCAGCAGCTCCACCAGTGCTGCAAGATATGAAGTGACAGTACTCGGCATAAGATGACAGTCCTGGAACCACCACAAAAGGAAGGACAAGACAACTGTTACAGACAGAAGTAAATCTATGAAGGGATAAGTAGTAACAGAAGAACTGCCAGGAAAATTCATACTGCTGCCAAGACTAAGCATGCAGGAGGGACACCATCAACAAAGCCACCTGCTCACCATGCAAGTGGTGATTGACTCGAATCAGAAAGACCAGACGCGAAGACTCGAGAAGATCGAACCAGCCACGTACTATACCGGTCCGATCTGTCAAAAAAGGCAGAGCCACGGGAAGCAGGCAGTGCCTGAAACCAATGCGGGACCAGCCACCAAGGGGCCAAGAGGACTACTCTTCCTTGGTAAGTCTCCAAGCGAGCTAGGACCTGGAGCAACAGCGGAACTGGGAAAAAGAGGTACAGGAACCCTACCTTGACCAGTCCTGCCTGAAGGCACCAACCCCAACAGCCTCGCAGTCAGGGAAGGGTGCCACATATACCGAGAAACACCTCAACCACGCCGACATGAAGAGGTCCACCTCCAGGAGCCGTCCGGCAGAGCCAACTGAATGAGTCGGCGTCGACCGTCCATTCCATAGACAGGGGAATAAACCAAGACATGCCATGACGTTGGACACCCCCCGAATGTGAACGGCCAAGAGAGCCAAACCTCGAGAACTCAGCAGACGAGTCACCCAAAGTGACCAGCCCCAAAGAGCCAAGGACCGCATCGAACCCCAACAGTTCAGGCAATGAACCACCGGGAAGCAAAACCCTCCAAAGCAACACCCACACAGCCGCAAACTCCCGCACTGTGTTGTGTGCCAGATGGAAAGATAGACCCCACTGGCTGGTCTAGAGAGTACAGGACACAAAGCCACAGCCAAGAGGTGATGCATCCGGGAACACATCGAGTGAGGGCTTGAGTAGGTACCAAGGCACTGAACCCCGAAAAACCCGAAGAGGAAGTCAGCGACACAGCAGGAAAAATGTGGAAGAGAGCCAGAAGGGGAATCCCCGTAGGAACCAGAACAGCCGATGAAGCCAAACCCGACCCGGCGAGAAGACCACCACGGCAATGTTCCGACTCCCGCACAAACCCTTGAACAAATGCCTCGTGACCCGGGAGCCCCCCAGAAACAGGCAAAGGTGGAGACCGCAGCTGCAGCAAAGCCTCCGGAGGGAGGGACAAGGAAGCGTTCCGAGAGTCCCAAATAATACCCAGCCAAGACCAAACTTGAGAGGGAACGTGAAGGGACTTCCTCCAGCTCACCAGGAACCCGAACCCGGCGAGCTGCGAAAAATCCAAATTCCTTACGAGCAGTCACATGTACCAGCTGGGAGCCCACACCAGTCAGTCATCGAGATAGGCCAGAATCAAGCCGAATGAAAGGTGATGAAAGTGGTAACCCTGACATCCCAGAACACCGAGCCAGTCTCTGAACCATGGATAAAACGGGACATGTCAATACGCATCCCGAAGGTCCAGGGACACCATTCGAGCGCCTGGCTCCAAAAGAAGATGGATCTGGGACAGAGTAGGCCTCTGAAAGGAGGGGCACTTGTCCCGTCTGACCCATGGGATCAGACAGGACAAGTACAGAATGAACCTGAGGTCCACGTAGTCCCGTTTCGGAACCGGAAACAGGCGGGAAATCCACTGGAGGGACGAGGTCGTTCCAACCACACCCAAGCGAACCCACTCCCGACAGAGCGCAGGAGAAGAGGCCAGCCCCACCAACCCCGAACCTCCCAAAGGAGGAGGAGCCACCCAATGCCACCACAGGCCACACGAAATGATCTGAAAGGCCCACAAATCATGGGACCAGGCATGAGCAAACAGCGCAAGCCTCCCCCCATCACCCTGTCAATGGGATGAAATGCGAAAGGATCGACACTACGTGAACCCGACCTCCACACAGAGCGATCACTGCATCAACCAGACAAAGATGGTTCCAAAGGCTGCGCCACCTCTGAAACTGGCACCACTGGCCTACCACGACAGGAGGAACCCCGAGCCCTAGCACAACCCTTCCGGGAAGACCCCCACACAGGCCCCCAAAGAAGAACAAGTCTGACATGAGACAGCAACTGGAAGAGGCTGCCTGCAGATACTGCACCACCACAGACTCTGCAAACAGCCAAGGACACACGCCAGGATGACTCCGGAACCTCATAACGAACCCAGTAAGGAAAAGAAGATCCAAACACAAAAGAAGAAGGATCCATTATAGAGGCGTAATTTGGGTCACGCAGGAGATAAGCCGCAATGATCTCCCGCATCACATAAGGTGGGATGCGTGATGCCAAAAACTTCCAGAAGGACGAGACTAAAGAACCCAAGGGAGCATGGAACCAAACCCGGGGATTGATTGATGCCAATTCCAATTCGTACGAGGAGGGAGGAAAAAGAAAACCCCACGCCCTGTAACATCAAGCCTTGCTCGGAGGGTACAAAGACCCAAGTGGGGTCCAATGGGGCCCAAGTCAACCCCTCCCTCGCCCCAGGAACCTCCCCCACGAGAACCCGGGGCCGAGCCGTCCTCCAAGTCCCCTGCCTCAAAAGAAAAGGCAGGAGCGGCCGAAAAAGCAGGAATGAAGGGGGAGGGCCCACTGGTCAGACCCAGAAGCTCCGGTTGAAGGAACATGCTCGAATGCCCCTGTTGCTACACCAGAAGGGGGCATCCCTCAAAACCCCCCGAGTTTCAACACCAACTAAACCCAGCCCCAATTCTGAAACCCTCAGATGCTTCGGAGCTGGAAGCGACTAACATCCCTAAGTTCGGGGTCCCTATAACCAAAACAAGGCAGTCTCACGACATCCAGGGTAGCAACCAACCTGAAGCGCTGCAGCAACCTAAACCAAGCATGCAACGCCGAAGCTGCCTGCACCCAAATATCATGATCAGTGGACTGGGTGTATTGGAGCACAAACAAGGAACAAAACTCGCAGGTCTCCAGGTCGAAGGTGTTACCGACACAACAGGCAGCATGACTGAGGCACAACCGGTGAGTGTCACCCTGAGACAAGATGAAAGAGCAACCTTCAAACCCGCTTAACTATTTAACTCGTTAACTTAACACGCACGAAGTGAGAGGGGACCCAGGGGGGTCGCATCCATCGAACCAAAGAGCCCCTGCGGGGTTTCCCAGGGCCCTTAGTTGCGTAGTCTCACTAAGGGAAGCCCAAGCAGGGCACTGCTAACCGGCACCCAAAGTTACCAATCAAACTGCTAAAGTTGAACCCCCCTCTGGACATGTACACTCATGGGGGCTTAGTGGAGGACCACCAAGATATAAATGGGTGTGACCAAAACCAAGGGGCAGAGTCCCCACCAGGCAAGAAAACAAAAAAAACAAAAACAAAACCCCACAAGAGAACAATGTGCCCAGGCGGAACAGAGCCGGCTGCTATGAGAGGTGAAAACTAGCTGCACCTGCACCCAAACCAGTGACAAAACTACCCCCTACCCAGAAGTAAAGAGTGGTGCATGAAACAACCCAACTGACTCTAAGGGCGGTCAATCACCGAGCCGCAAAGGACCTTCCGCAGGTAGATACCTAGGTGACTTGTGGAAGGTGGCCCCGAGCCCCAGGGCAGTACTTACAGGGCACCTAGGGAAGGGGAACCTAGGCGCATGTAGCCCAAGTACTTGTGAAATTACTCCTGGCTCGTGCACAACTACTGAAACAGTACCTCCCTCACCACAAGGCACAGAACTGGAAATCACAAGAGCCAGAGGCGCACAAACTTGCCAGTTCATATCAGCCACAGAACTGAAAGTTGAATAGCCGGCATGGGGGTCTGGGGCTCCACCTTTCCCCTCCGGGGGGGGGGGGGGGATTGCATAGACAGCTGCGCAGTGACATGATGTTATGCTCAATTTGCTCAATTTCATTTGGGGAATTCTGTCCACTAGTTCGGCTTTCAGTAGCAATATTTTAACCAGAATATGTTTTTTTGGGGGTGGGTGCCTGACCCAGTTGATGACAGACATAGAATGCTTCCAACCACGTGGGGGTTTCTATAGGCCATTGCTCCTCGTGCCTCCCTGAAAGGGGGAGGGGGGCAGGTTCTGGCTCGTGGTCCCCAGTAGGTCTAGAACTCCATGTGGATTGACTGATGCCAGCATCTAATACATTCATATCAGCCTGATTAGCTCTGGAGAGGCAACAGAGCTCCCTTCAAAAAAATCATTTATTATGCATATTTATTTTGACCATTGGATGTGATAGAGCAATCATTAATGAATAATTCCATATCAAAATTATACCTATATGACAATTATTCATGACTGAACACAATATAATGGTCAAGAGCTGCACGAGATGTGTAAAGAGGCCTTCTTGACATGTGCATACAGCTCATATACAGGACCAGTGCAAACAAGAAAAGGTATATAGAAAATCAGTATGCATAATTATGCATTGTTACTGAGAGATACAAGACAAATTCACATTTAATTACACACCTTATGTTGATCCTGTGGCATGTGAGCACCAATGGGAGGAAACACAAAATTAGCTTAATTGCCGGCAATCTAAAAGAATCAATAATGGACAAACAAAAGGGACAGAGTAATTTCAAAATGAACTCGGGACATTAATTTACTTTATTGTTATTAAGCTGCAATAAAGCAGAAAACACTAATTTCTTTTACCTGTAAGTTTCGCCACTGTTGCAGCAATCTATTTATCATATATTAAGCACACTAAAAAATTAAAAGGTGACTCAATCTGAATTAAAGATCCCTTGAGAAAATTTGTATACATAATTGTGCAAACTCTTCAGCACAGCATTATTCATTTACCCAGAAAACTAGCATGAAATAAAAATGCCAAAGTACCATTAACTTAATGAAAGTTCCTTTTCCAACATTGCCCATAGCAGTAGTTACCCCGTCAATTCTACTCTATGGTTCTTGCTTAGGATTACTACTGTAGCTGTCTCAAATATCTTCAACCAGAGGTATTCTCCAATTCAACTTGGCAAATGGTACTTTAATCTCAATGCTCATTTTTAAAATCCATAGTCTTTAAAAATATTAAAGTCAAAATGTGTTAAGAGATACCTCCAGTGTTTGTCAATAAACCATTATGATGTCTCAATGCACAAATTTATAATAAAAGTGAACATAAATAGACTCCAGAACAATAGGTAGTCAGTGAAGTCTAGCACAGGTAATTAAAATGATGTTGAATATATTCATTCCTACCTATGAAATTGGCTGCAGATGATTGTGTTCATAAGTTTCAAAATCATATTTTTATTTAGTATAATAGATCTTTAACAACAATATATTATTTCATACAAACATTTTAATTGAAAGTTTAATTTTATAGCCCAAATATAAAGACTGAGTATTTTATGCAATACACAAAAATGATTGCTGCTTCTTGACAGACATGTCAGTCATGTACGGCATTTTTAATGGCTTGGCTCTGGACAGTTTAACAGGCGGAAAAGTTTCAACTACTAGTCTTGTAGAAAACTTTGGTTATGGGATAGTTGAGTGTTCCATATCATATATATATGGAACACTTAACTATTCCAAAACCAAAGCTTTTCTCAACACTAAAACTATAACTGTTATGACAGATGACTTTCTATAATACAGTACTGTATATTGCAATTTAAAGTCAATAAAGTTTTATGTAACATTAAATTTAATGTGAAAATTAAAAATGTTTTATTTAAAAATATTACTTTCATCATTCTTTAAGTTAATGTATTACTTAAATTTGCCTTTTTCAAGTGCAGTACAAATGTTTCCCCACACACAGGCAAGGTGAATCAGGTAAAGTGAAGAGTAATATAAATTGTGGTATACAAATATTGTATAAAATGGCAATGGTCATAACACTCAACAATGAAGGATGCACCAGTACTTCTAACTTAATTTCAACAGGCTATTAAGCAGAAACAAATATTTTTCTGATATTATACTGTATAATACAGTACTTCTCAAATTAAAGGTTATTAATGAGTAAATACAGGGGTACCTCAGTTTAAGAGTTTAATCCGTTCCTGGAGACGGCTCATATTCTGAAAACTTGTATTCCGAAGCTAATTTCCCCATAAGAAATAATGGGAAATGAATTAATCCGTTCCTGACTACCCCAAAAACCCCACATCAAGCTAAATTTTTATACCTAATTCATCTAAATAAACCTACAAAACTATGTTCAAGCTATTACTTACCTTGCTGTTGAATGCTGTAGGCGTATGGAAGATGGTGAGGAGGGGGGAGGAGGAGAGGAGTTACTGTTTGGAAGGGGAGTCCCCTTCCATTATCACATCAGGCAGTGAGGACTTCACTGGTGAGCACACTCTGGCACATTTTGCCTGCATACCACTAGGACTTGTTTGTCTTACTAAGAATCTGTCTAAAGACACTTGTTTTTCCCTACATTTTAACACTTGTCTGTAGTAAAAGTCATTGTCATTTAAAAGGTCAATGCAACGGCCTGCTACAGCTTTATCTGGGTGAGTTTTTTCAACAGAACTTTGCAGTTCTTCCCATACTTCACACATTTTCTTAATCAAGAAGGGACATCCTCTACTGCCTCTACTCACAGCTATTTTCTTAGGTTGAACCTTATCAATGGCTTTCTTGAGACCCATGGCGAGATATATAATAACAACTTTTATGCTCAAATGGCCAAAAAACCGACATAAAACTGTAAATCCTTGTGAAGAATTCAGGAGGGATAGTCACTGGGCGGGAGACAATGGTAAACTGAGGGGTGGAGGGGCGACGATCGCTGTACCACCACGCTCTAGGTCGGCCTGAACGTGTATCAACAAACTCGTGTTCCGAGGTAACCCTCGCCTTCCGAGACATTTTCCGAGGAAATCCGGCTCGTATTCCGAAAAACTCGCATACAGGGACACTCGTGTTCCGAGGTACCACTGTACTGTAAATATAACCTAATATTATCATCAAGCTGTGTTCTTCTAAAGTACAGTACTACTGCCTAACTTGGTATATAATACCAAGTTATGTTCAAATTAATTCTGAAGTTTGCAGAAGAAAGCAACTATCGACACGACTTAATAATGGTCCAGGATGGAACGAAATGTTTTGTTTCTCCTTCTGGTGTGTAGTTTGGCCATCATAACTTCAGCCATGATATTGTGACTCTATAATGACATTGATGCAGATGATGAAACATTTATTTAAATCTATTACCAGTAGTTGAATATTAAAGTGTGCTTACCTGCTCCAACCCTGCAGTATCACCAACTGGATTCAAATGATTTCTTACAAGATCTCTAGGTGTTAATGAGGTATGCCGGGCAAACATTATCATTGCAAACAGAGGCACATTTTCTCCATTGTTGTTGCTGATGTGCAGGTCAAGTGCTGTTGTAAGCATATGAAGTTTAATAGCTTCACACAGCTTTACGTCCAGCTCCGGGTCTCCATTTAGCCGAGACAGCACAACACATTCCCGGTTCTCGCAGCCCATAAGATTCATCACCTAGTACAAAATATTATTCAGGTTTTGAGCATGTTGTATGAAATATATATGAACATAAGGAGTTCTCAATGTGGCAATTAGGGAATACATTGAAAAAAACACCATGTGCAAAAAGTAAGAAAAATAAAAAAAGAAAAAAATCAGCTTCTTATCTGGTGAGATGAGTTGCAGTAACCTAGTGGAGGGGGGTTCAATGAGTGTGTTAGCACTAGATTTACAGTTCTGACTAGTAGTGTAGGGAGAGAGGGCTCCAACGATCAAGTAAGACAATTTTATACCTGTGGCTTCACTTATTAGATTACATTATGCAATTTTTGTGTTGAATAATGTGATTTATGTACACATATTTGACAAAAATAGTCACCGAGTATTGCATATAGGCTTACACTGTAAACTTGTCCCTAGAACAGCTCAAAGGAAGTGTCTTGCAACTCACTCCTTTGCTGCTATAGTGTCTAGGAATGACATTCAGAAATATATTCAAATGCTACCAGGAAAGACCAAATCATGATTGATAATCATAGGCCGCAAGTACACAATAACTTCATCGTATTGTAAGCAATTAAAAACTATTACAGATTTTTTCATGGGACTGTTTAACTATTACATTCATACAGATGTATTATAATTACATTTCAACCCATCCTCTTGTTTAGATAGTACTTTTTGTAACTATGTGAACCATCATACGTATATTGACATAATGGACAATTAGTAGAATTTGGAACTATTCACTTCATAGAGTCCAGAAAAATAAAGCTAAAAACCAAACTTAAATATTCCAAAGCCTAGTATTGCACATATGTACAGTACTATATTAGGCTTTAGATAGCATGTATTAGGCCTAGGAAAGTTAGGTTAGGTTAAGTTTCTTTGTAACATAAATAAAAAAAAATTTTCCAATTTGTCCAAATTCAATAGTACCGATTTCTACTTTCTAATTGCCTTTTAAGTAAATATATGTACGATGGTCCTCATCATTACTATAAGTACTACCTAAACAGTAGGATGTGCTGCTATATTTACATCATTTGTAGAAAGAGAGAGAGAGATAATAACAAACTGGCAAATGAAGATAACCATCTTTCAACTCTTAATCAATTTGTGTATAGATTCCAGCACCTATTGGACACTGGAACAACTGAGGGGCCCTTCCCAGAAAATACCGTACCTGCAATATTGACAGTTTATAACTATATGAAAATTAATATATAAAACTTACTATGCTATCCAACGCATCCAAGCATTCCCAAAATCCATTGAGTATCTGTTCCTTTGTAAAATTTAGACGATGTCCAAAAGACCACTCACGCAGCCATGTAGCACCCTGATCAAGCTCGGCTGCGAGGCGGGAATGAGTGGTGTGGCCACTTGGTAATGGCAAGCCTAGGGAGAGCACTTGGTATAGGGCAGCACGCACGCCACAGTAGTTGTCACCTCTCACTTTCCGTAAGTGAGCAAAACCAAGTTCAATTGGAATGGCTGAGTAACCCTGAATTCATGAAAAACACATTAATTTTGTGAATACCATATATATAGTATCATTTATTTTACATTAATCTTGTTTCACCAGATAAAAAACAATACATATATATTATCATTTCTATTTACAAAACGGTACTAATTTAAGTACCTCCTGCTTAGTTTACATTTGACTGTAAGTTATACAGGAATGAGACTATAATCACCTGTTTAATAATTTGTGCCTTTGGTGTATTTCCCTGCCATTCTGTACTGGCATATTTAGTAAGTTCCATTTTTGGTCCAACAGCTATATGGGTATCTAGAACTGATGTCAGTTGAGAACAGGCAAATGAGTGATCATTATCATTAACAGTGCTTGATTTATTACCCATGATGAGATTATTGTTGATGTTGTTATCGGTGTTATTGCTCGTATAACTATTATTTATGTTTGCGTTAGTGATGGTAGGGTTCCAGTTGTCAACACAATGCAGAGGAGTAGAGGTGCTGCTTCCTGATGATCCCTCTTTTTCTCTGAAATAATTGTATTTCAAAGATTTCTGCAATTGAAAATTTTACTAAAATTTAGAGTAGTAAACTCTTCTAACTCGGCAGATCACTGTAATGGTTACTTTTGGGAGAACCTATATTATTCTAAACTAATTAGAGAAATATGATATGATACTAATCCCTATCTTCATATACAACTGTCTTCTGCTGCCACCGAATAGATTTCTAGAAATTATAAATCATTTACTTCTTTGCACTTCTCGTATTCATAATTCAAACATTTTTCACCTTAAAATGTAAGCATCATCATATTTGATACTGTAAAGCAAGACTTTGCTATTCATGGTGGATATGGTCACCCCAAATAGTAGGACACCCCAAATAGTAGAACCAAGGAAATCACAATTATGTTATATACCCATGAGACAATCATTGAAGCAGCACAGGGCAGCACACTTGTGTATTTGAAAGGAGCATTTGGTGGAGAACTCAATCACCTACACCAGAGTGCATGGGGGTTTATATGTAAAACTTGGCTTGGTTACCAACTTGATGCTCCCAGACTCCTAAGTGGATTCAGTAGCATCGCAGGATGTATAATCTTTTACCATGTCGTGGTCCAGGGGGTAAAGTGTGTAGGTGGGAGTACATTGGTTTGGTCCTAATACTGCTCCAATTATTTTCTCATAGATACATCATGTTATTGTGATTTCCTTGAGCATTTCAAGTGGACCATTGTTTCTCATAGTACTACCATTATCCTTTACACTATCCCCCATTCTCATACCACTCCATTAACCCTCATACTGGCACAATTATCCCTCATACTACCACTGTTATCCCTCATACCATCACCATTATCTCTCATACTACCACCATTATCCCTCATACTATCACCATTATCCCTCATACTACCACCATTATCCCTCATACTATCACCATTATCCCTCATACTACCACCATTATCCCTCATACTACCACCATTATCCCTCATACTACCACCATTATCCCTCATACTACCACCATTATCCCTCATACTAACACCATTATCCCTCATACTACCACCATTATCCCTCATGCTACCACCATTATCCCTCATGCTATCACCATTATCCCTCATACTACCACCATTATCCCTATACTACCACCATTATCCCTCATACTACCACCATTATCCCTCATACTAACACTATTATCCCTCATACTATCACCATTATCCCTCATACTACCACTATTATCTCTCATACTAACACCATTATCCCTCATACTAACACTGACACCATTGTTTTATACTACTACTATTATTATTCCTTATACTACTGTACCACAATTATCCCTCATACTACTACTGCCATAATTATCTTTATCTTCATGAGCTATTCTACAGAAAATACAGTATTGAATTATTAATAGGCACCATTTGTAAATAGGTGTCATTACACAATACAAGTAGATTCATATATATTTATCGAAATTTATCTAGCATTTGTAAAAGTAGAGGGCCTAAATGATAAAACATGCACAGGCAGCCGTAACCATTGATAAACAAAACTCAAAATACCAATAATCGTGTGCCAAGCATATTATTATAATTTAATGAATTATGAGAAAACCCACTAGGACTATAGGTGGGTGCAAACCTAAAACCCTGGTACTGCCAGTTGTGTACGCTACCACTAGACCACCACTGACTTTCAAAAGTCATCTGAAATCACAGGAAGTCTGGAGCCACCTACCGCAGCCAGTCCAAGTGTTTATGTATGACCAACATGCACTCAGGTGGAAGGTCAAAGTGGTCCCACACCTTATGCTCCAACTTCAAAAACATACAGAAAGAACAGTAACGTGATATATATCAATGAGAAAAATTTCTCGGTGATATATATATCACGTTAATGTGATTTCTGTGTGTTAATAAATGATGTTAAAAAGCTTTTCCACAGGCATTAAAGAAGCTGAGCAAAACTTAAATATATGCTGCTAATAAATAATACAGAAATATTGTTTTATATGGCTGAATTAACCCCAGTAATTGAATAATTATGACAACCTATGAAATACTTGTACCTGTAAGTAACTAAATAATATTTCACTCATTTCTATCAATAGCAACTTAAACATTTTATTGCACTATTTAAAACCAAAACAATGATTCTTTCCAGATCATTTATAGTTGATGTTAGACCAGTACTGGAAGACACAGACCAGCACAAAATCTGCCATGTTTTTCATGTAGTGATCATGTCTCCTCTAAAGTTATTAGGTTTAGTTGCTTTAAACAATTTGTAGATCAGTTCTCCTATTTCATGCTCAAGCCTTGTTTCAAGCCTGTTAATTTTTTGTAATCTTCTCCAGTGCTTCACATGTCAGTGTTGTGATTGGAATGTTGATAATATGGCAGTTAAATTTAAATATCACATCATAATCAACATCTGTAAAAATCCTATTTTGCCTAGTATTCTGTGATCAGTTTTCTATTTTTTTTTTTTAGATACGATAAATCATGGAGCAGGTTTTATATCTGTAAATGTTCAAAATGCTTGCATATGACCTTTAAGTAACTATTCCATGATTATTATTACAAAAATGAGCACTTCCTTTACTTAAAAATATGACTGTACCCTCTTAGTCCCTGTGACACCTACCCCACTAAGTATATTTATGTAAAGTGAAAAAATGTGACTATAAAATTGAGTCGACTTTCACCGCAAGAGATAAATATATATTAGTCTCTTATTATCTGTGTCCCAAAATTTTAAATTGATTTAAAGCCATTAATACTGTTATATAATACTTAAAAGGCTTAGTAGCAGCTGACAAACTGGATGCCGGGTTACAGTTACTCTATTTTCAACACTAGCATTATATACAAGACAATTAAAATTGTCAATTATATTAACAATAATATACATTAAAATTATGTTATTTCATAATAATATATTAAGAATGCATTATCTAAAGCATAATACAAAAACAAATTATGTTGAGCTGGGAAAATAAGAATTAGGACATGCATGTGATGAAGTTTCCAAAACAGTTCATAGGGAGAAGTTATCTAAAGTGTAGAAATATGTAAAAAAAAAAAAATTAAAATTATTTGCAAGTTATCTAATTGTGAAGAAACTACTGTGACTTACTATATATAACTCAATCACCACAACCATCAAAAAGCCCTTTTATAACTAATCCTATAACTCTAATGTGACTAGTTTATTAGTACCACATACTGTACTATACTGAATCTCACTTGATTTCGTGCACGGGGGAAAGATGTGCATGTAACGAGGTGTCCAGAAGTGCATCAACACCTTCCATGTACCCACTCTCTTCAGAGCTCCAGTAGCGACGGGCCTTGCTACCAAACTCACCGGGACCAACCCGACGCTCCCATCCAGTGGTTTCAGAATCGGGCGTTGCAGGGGATATTTCTGAACTGCTAGCCAGGCCCGATGAGCTGCAAGCCAAGGTGCAAGCGTGAGACGTGCAATGCAAACATTAAGCAATGGCAACACACAGCCCTTGCATTCTGAGTAGTTTTTATTGATCACACCTTTTGATGATCATAATTTTTCATTATAATATTTACCTTATAATATATATCTTAAGCTGTAATTAACCTTTAACTACAGTGAACAAACATTTATTACAGTCAAAAATCAATTATGTCAATTTTGATTAAAACTGAAGCATCTATAATATAGTCTTATATTTATATGAACTTAGCACATAATTATTGTATCCCAATGTTTTTAATTCATTATAAAATAATAAGGTAATATCCATTGCAGAGGAGCTAATGATGCAACCCGTCCTCTTGCCAATTATATCCCTTTTCGCTCGTATGTGCACTCAGGCTGATAATCAACGTACAGTAATTCAAAATGAAATTGGTTCCTGAAAGTGACATACTGTCCCATTTTCTGTTTTGGGTCCCTCTGGCTTAGGCTGTTAGGTTAGGAGAGGAAACTTTCAATTAATGGTTTTCATGATGATTTGAAACCTTAGAACTTCCTGTCCTCCTAACCTACCACCACAGGACCCTTAACTTGCTTTTTTTTTTTTAAATCCAAAATTTAATTTTGAAAATCAATTTCCATTTTGAATTATGTCGATATTTGGCCATTCCGCATACGAGTGATTTTTTTCATTGATTTTCCATTGAAAAGATTCATATTGTGCATAATTCTAATTACAAATAGTAATGCTTATCACGCCATAAGTAAACCATGTGCAAAAAAATAATGCTCCCTTATCTACCAATTATTAAAGTACTGTAATGATAGGCTACATATAAATTATATAATTATGGTAAATTATTGCAAGATTAGCAAGCTAATCCATTCATGTTAATAACTCTTCTAAATCCAACTTTAGTCCAAGATAATCATATGTGATTAGTAAATAGTATTCTTCTGAGAAGTGTGATACAGAAAATTAAAAATTGCCTCAGAATTTCAGATTGCATCATAAAATTTGGGCAATTGCTCAAAACAAAATGAAGCTGCACATGTAGTCAATATTTTTCATGGATAGTGTTTTGAAATTTGTATAAATATGAGAAAGGCACATGGAACTGTTCAGCAAAAGGAGTGTGTCAACTAGCAGCAGCAGCACAGCAAGCTGGTCTACTAGGAGTGTAGCATAATGCAGTGCCAAAAATAAAATGTGATACACAGTACTCTTTATGAGGTGAGGCTCTAAGCTATCCCATACCTGGCTGCTCAGATACCATGAGGTATGCAAAGAAAATCCAGGTAAAAATCTGTTAAAACACTAAATATAGTTCTGAAATTTGGTTTTGTACATTTATATCACAAATAATACGCAGTAAATGGGGGTCATTCTAAGTAAAATGAATATTAGGTATGCTATATTCTTCAGAAAAAAATGTGTATTTTCTATTAGCTTATGGCAGCTCCCTGGAGCTAGCATCTCCAATGCATGTGTTATCTACTAGGTGCCATCAGTTACAGAGTTCTCTGGATTACTGGGGACTAGAACCTGGACACAGATTCATAAAGCAG